CTGCTCCGCGCCCGCAGCCTCGCATCCACTCTTCCCGGGACGGGGGTGCTCACCTCCTCGCCGGGGACCCCAAGTCCCGCTCTCCTCCTGGACCAGGACGCTCACCTCCTCTCCTGGGCCCGCAGCCCAATCCTCCACCGCAACACGCCAGAGGCTCTGGTCAGTCCCCGCCCCGCCCACGACTCCGTTCGGACTACTTTACCACGTCCCCGAGGGCGGCTCGGCCAATGGGAGCCTTGGGTGAAGGCGGGGGCGGAGCCAGCTGGAGTCCGAGAGAAAAGTGCGCGGTCTGCGCCCGCCCTTGGCACTCGTGGGCGGGGCGGGGCGGGGCTTCTCGGGTTCCCGCGGAGCTACCTCCCCACTTTGCACTTCGCTTCCCCGGTGTCCCTGGCCCGAGTCGCCGCACCCCACGTGCCCGCTGCTAGCGAGGTGGGGGACGGCCCCAGACTGGGTGTCGCGGGGTGGAGCGCAGGCTGGGGCCGGGGGCGGCGGGGCAAGTTCCCCTGACTGGGAGCCGGGCTGCTAGCTGACGCAGTCAACTCAGCAACCCCGAGAGAGTGATAATCATTAAAATCAGCAGTACTTTATTGTATATTTTGAAACCCCTTGATAGTGGACAATTTCAAACACACATTAAAGGAAAGAAGTTTCGTGGACCCCATGCACCCATCTCGCAGCAGCAGCAGCAGCAGCAGAAGCAGGTTGTGCGGGACCTTGCTTAATCCTTCCTGGCTGCTTGTGATGCTCAGAGTGAAATTTCAGAGCCTCAGGCTTCGCCTTCTCAGCCTCCCTCTCGCCTCACCCCGGCACAACCTCTCCCACTGGCGTCATCCAGTTTCGAAAAACCCTAGCTTCCTCCCTTTGCACGCCCTCTACCTCCCTCAAACTGCCACCTCCTCCCCGGCCCCCACAGCAGATCCCCCACCTCACCCCCTAACCCTCAGCTACCTCATCCGGTTTTGTTTTTTGTAAAAAAGAAAACAGCCTGAAGTCATCTCCTTGGTCACTAGTATAATGTGGTAGTCTGACGACCACCCGTCTCATTCCCCTGTCTCTAAGGGCTGAGGTGCAGCATTGGGGCACAAGGCAGTTAATGTCCCATGGGTGGAGTTGCCAAATAGGGCAGAACCTGGGAACCCAAGACAGGGGCCGGCTGCTTGCTAGGCCAAGGGGGGACTCTCTGGCTCTGGTCTCTGCAGTGGGCAGTTCTGGCCTTGAGGCTACTTCCTGACTGAGAGGTGGGGCTTGGTGCTGGGAGTGCCACTCCAGCCAAAAAGGTGAAAGAGTGGGGTGGGCCAGGAGAAAGAGGAGAAGAGGGCCGCCCGAGGTGACCTTGGAGAGCCCCTCCACGTCCCTGCCCCCTTCCATTGCCATTACTGTCATTGAGTGAAGGACTAGCAGTGTCTGCTGAGCACCCAACAAAAGCCAGTCTGGAAGGTAGGCTCTGAGCTGAACTAACTCCAACAACCTTCAGTTTTGCCTTGAAGAAAATTTTATTGCTGTAAACATTTCATATCGACAGAGTTGCCATTAAAAAAGAAAAGACTTCCAGCTTCTCTTAAATCAGAGCATACAAAAATTACGGGTCCTCGTCTTTGCAGCAAGCTGCACCCTTTAGATGGGACTCATGTTTTCCCATCTACCTGGTCCCCTCCACCCTCTGTGGCCTCTCCCTTGGCTGGTGTTACCCCTCATGTCCTCCCAGTTGGAAAAGCATTTGAATCTGTGAGTCTTGCTGATGTAATCAGGCCTCTCTACCACCCAAGGGAGAAAGAGACAGGGTCTGAAATCCCACTGGCTGGGTTATAACCAAGGAGGTCAGCTGGGGCACCAGGACACTGGGAAATGCTGTCCCGAGTACACACGCTGCATGTGTGTGGAGGGGCCTGAGAGCTGAGCACTAAGGCCACTGCCATGCCCACCTCAGCGTCCAGGTCCTTCACCTCCTCAGCAAGAGGGGCTTTTCAGGGAAAAGCAGAGGTGCCTGGGGTAGAGGTGGCTGAGCTTTAGAAAAGAGCTGGACCCTTGCAAAGGCAGGGCTGTGTTGTTTATGATGGCGTCCAGCTGTCTAACACTCTGCCTGGCACAGAGCAAGTGTCCAGAAGGGGAAGCCTTTTGATGATTCTGGAAAATTAGTGGGTGGGGAGATAATTATTGATCCTGGGGCCAGGAGACCCCTCCTAGCCTCATCTCACTGGTGGTTCAGAGCCCACTTGGGGCAGAGTCTGTTCATCTCTTCTCCCTTCCAGCTCTGCCGTCCTGTGGATCTGAGTGGAGCTCTCCGAGATGCCGGGAAGGCGGTGTAAAAGGATCCGTCAGCTGTCCTCCTTTTTCCCAACAAGGGCTGGCCTGGGGGTGGGGAGACCTGGGTGGAGAGCCTGCTCCTCCAAATAAGAGAGGAAAAACTCGTGACTCAGGGAAAGGCAGAAGTTGAGTCAGCCAAACCACAAGCTATGGAAAAAATGAAGTTTCCCTGAGGCCTTTTCTGCTCCCTGGGTAAGAAACCCTTTCTGAGGAAAAACGCTTTTGGGCTCTGAGAACCAGGGTTTCGGGAAAGCCCCAAAGCTAAGGATCTCAAGATGGGTGTTTTGGCAAACTCCTCTGCAGGAATTTTTATTGCATTGCTTATTAAATTGTGCCAAGTATTGTGAGCTGAGTACTCTATACTTATTATTTTATCTCTTCCCACACCAAACCTGTTAATCCCCAGGTTTTAGCTCAAGAAACACTGACATATTTAGGGGTAAAGTGTCAAAACTAATACAAATGTATAGTAAGAAAGAGAAGAAACAAACAACACAGCGTATTAACAATTAGCAAATCTAGATCAGGTGTAAAGGGGCAAATAGTATTCTAGGCTTGGAAGGCCAGGGGGTCTCTGTGACAACTACTAAATTTCTACCAGCATGGAGTGAAAGCAGCCATAGACAGTATGTAAACAAGTGGGTAAACTTTATTTATGGACACTAATAGGCAGATTTCCTATAACTTTTACATGGTAGAAAACATTCTTCCTTCTTTTAAATTTTTTTTCGAACCATTTTTAAATGTAAAAATCACTCTTAGCTTACAGGTCAGACAAACTACCCCTCGGGCTAAAGTTTGCCAATCCCTGTTCCTGGCTGTTTCTTGTACTTTTCTTGCAAGTTGGGTCAGTTTGAAAATTTTTGAAACAAAAAGTTGGAAAACAGAAAACAAAACTAAAACAGAGATCCCACTGTTTATAACTGGCTGATCTTAAAGTTGATTCTAAATATGTCCAATTACGAACCTGCTCTCTGCTGCGTTTATTTGTTGCTAGTATATTGAGACAGTTTGTCTCAAAGGCTTTAAAATGTGGGGGTTGTTTTGGGAAGATTTCTATTAAAATGGTCAAGAAGATGAGTTCTAAATGAGGAAGTCCCGAGAAAATGATGCAAAACAGATTGGAAAACTATGAGTTCATTAGAAAAGTTTGAGAGTGGGACTGCTGTATTTGCCTTTGAAATTGAGTACCGGCACCCTAGAGAACTACAGAACTGTAGTGACTTTGCCCCACCCCCGCCTTTCTACAATGGTGATATTTATTCCTTCTGCATGTGTTTGCCCTGTGTTTATCATTGCAACGGCCTGCAAATACTTTTCATGCTTGTGGGCACTATTGTGCCTGTTTCCCATCATGGACTTCTCCCTTGAGACTTTAACCAGGCCAAGAGGAAGAGGGGAGAAAAATGAAGAGAAAACATAAAGAAGTCTTTGAAAAGTGCTTCCGATGGATGAAATAAATGTTTCATGTAAATACAATCTGCAGAGTGTGCTGGACACACCTGGTTTCACAAATATAGTAAAGCCAATAGCCCTTTTACAGCACTGGTTTGGCAATATTCCATCTGGGTTGTTCATCCATTCAGCAAATGGTTATCAGGCAGCTCTTCGTAGCTCTACCTGGGCAGTGAATGCAAAGATGAATGAAGCCGTCTCTGTCCTTGAAGAGCTTACGGTTGAATAGGGACAGAGTTGTGAACATTTGTTTAACCAAAAGAAACGAGAACTGCTCACCCAGAGGAGAAGTTTAGATGGTACAGCTTGGAGAACAATGTTGAAGAGTTAGCCTTGCATGGCTGGCTGTCAAAGAACTTATCTGCTACATTGAAGGCAAGAACGGGCATTGTGGGTGCCAAGGACAAACTGGGCAGAGAAAAAAGCCTGGCATATGATGTGCAAGAAGGCCAGAGGAAGCCCTCCAATTGAGATTCTAGGGTGGCTTATAAAAGGCTTCAAAGTATTGATGTGGGTGAGATTTCATTTTAAATTACTTGATGAGTTTCCTGGACTGCCTTCCATTATGGCTACTGCTCCCCAAGGCTTCATGACCCCATTCCCTTGCGGAGGGAGCATGAGTGCTATAGTCAACCTTTGTGTAAGGGAACACGGCAATGTCTATCATGATAAAAATGCACAGATCCTTCTGTCCAGCTAGTTCGCTTCTAGGCATTCATCCCTACACAACCCTTGCACTTGTGCAAAAGGATATGCACACACATTTATTCATTGCAGTGCTGCTTACAGCAGAGGAACTTGTGAACACCCAGACATCCATTGATCCACTGTGTCACATGCACACAGCGGAGTGGTCTGTGCGATCAAAGGGATGGAGGGGTGAAATAAACCAGACACATGCTTGCTCTGTGAGAAACCCAAGCTCTAAATAAAAAACAAAATAAAAGAGATAGTAGGAAGCAGGGATCTAGATCTTTCTCAGTTGGGAAAGGGATCAAGAGATAGAAGAAGGGGGAAGGAGGGGATTAAAAAAAAGAATTGAGATGAATTATGCACATGTCCCAACTCCCTACAAGAAATTTAATCATTACGTGCTGCAAACATGTACTAATAATTTGTAAAACAAATAAATAAATAGAAATAGGAATAAATTAACTTAGCGAGGGGGGAATCTTTATGTCCTGGTATGGATTTTCAAGATGGTGAGTGAAACATGTAAACTACACTGCTGGATGTATGATTCTGTGTGTGTGTGTGTGTGTGTGTGTGTGTGAAAACACACGTGTGCGTATGTCTGCATGTCTATAAAATATTGCTGGAGAATTTCTGAGAAACTGGTTATAGTGGATACTGCTAAAAGGGAAAATAGGTGGTGTGGTCCTGGGAGAGATTCATATTTTACTGTCTACATTTGTGATATTCGTGACCTTGTATAGTTGTCTCCCCATACTGAATAGGATCAGCCTGTGTAGACAAAATGTATTAGCTTTCCCATTTCTGGGACAAAATCCCTCACACTTGCAACTTAAAGAGGAGAGGTTTATTTTGGCTTACGATTTTAGAGGTTTCAGTCCATAGACAGCAGACTCCAAGACAGAAACAGGAGAGTGGAAGTGCCTGATGGAAGGGCCCTTGCAGCCCACAGCAGCTGGGGAGTAGAGGCTAAGAGCTATACTCTCCAAAGGTTTGCCCTTAATAACCCATCTCCTCCAACTGGGCCCCAACTCCTTATAACACATTCAGCTATAAACTTATCAATGGATGAATCCTCCCACTGATAAGAATAGCACCTTGGTGACTGTGGTGGATTCACTAGTGGTTAACTTGGAACACCGAGCTGAAATGAGTCAGTGTGGTTCTGGGCACGGAAAACCCCCCTTGAAGATTGTTGTCAATTGCATAAAAAGAGAACTGGAGGGAAAGATGGCTGTTGATTTTCCTGGTGAGGCTTGCTGGCTGGTTTTCCTGATATGAGCTTGGCTGTTCACATTTGAGGAACTTGAGCCCTCACTGTTTCCTGGGAATGGCTGCTATTTTCGTCAGGGGAGCTCTGGTCTTCACCTTGAGCATAGCTTCCTGGCTCCAGTGCCGATCCCTCAGCCTGGTGTCACAGATCCTTCCCCCCATTGGTGCAGACTTTCTAGCTTCCAACACTGGCTTGTAGACCTTCCTAATGCAGATCCTTGAATAGACTTGCACAAGACAGTACCATGGGCTCTAGTCCTCTGACTGGACTCATGGAGAACATTGCCTTGGGCTCTAGGCCTTTAGCTGGACTTGTGTGGGACATTGCTGTAGGATCCAGGCTTTCAGCTGGGTTTTTAGGGTCTCTAGCATGTGGACAGATCTCGACGACTCTCCATTTGACTTTTTTGGTGAATATTATAAAATAATCCTATAAATTATGTGTCCTGTATTAAATCTATTCCCTCGTAAACCCTGGCTACGACAGTGACCCATCCACCTTCTGAGAACCTCACCTCTGAACACATGAGACTTCTGAGAGACATTCCAGATCTAACATTGTAGATGTGGGGATAACAGGGTGTGGCTTATAAGACAAGTCATAAAAGACATTGTGGTTCCTGCTTTCCTTTCTCGGCTCAGGGTGAAGCCAACTTCTCAGTCATAAGGATGGCCAAGCAACTGGAGAGGCCCACCTGGGAGAAACTGAGGCCTCCTGCTAATAGTCAACATCAACTTATCCGCTCCATGAGTGGGCCATCGTGGAGAAAGATCACCTAGCCCCAGAAAGCCTTAGGTGACTACAGCCCAGATCAAGATGATTGATGAATTGATGGATTGATTGATTGTGGTACTGGGGATTGAACCCAGGGCCTTTTCAGAGAGCTATATTCCAGCACTTTTCATTTTTCCTTTTGAGACAGTCTTACTAAGTTGCCCAGGCTGGGTTTGAACTTACAACCCTCTTACCTCAGGCTCCCAGAATGCTGGGATTACATGCACCACAGCACCTCGCTCTAGGCCAACTGCTTAACTGCAACCTCAGGAGAGATGCTGAGACAGAACCATGCAGCTACGCCCTTCCCCAATTCCTGACCCACAGAAACCCTGTGCTATTATATAAATGCTTATTGTTCCAAGCTACTCCATTTTGAAGTAATTTATTATACAGAAACAGGTAACTAATGTGCCTTTCTCTGTCTTTTGAGTTTTGAGCCTCTTGCCTTTGCTCATGTCTATATTAGTTGCTTTCCTTATCACTGGGACAATATATACAACACCCAGGACAAAGGAAAGAGAGGTTTATTTTGGCTCATGTTTCAGTGCAGAGATGCATGGTGGAGGAGCTTCTCATGGCATGGCATCCAGGAGGCAGAGAGAATCAACAGAGGTAGGGGAGATTAGCATTTCCAGGCCACAGCTGCAGTGGTCTACCTTTTCAGACCAGATCCCACCTCCTAACAGTAGGTCACTTATAAGTCCTAATAATCCAGTCACCTTCCAAAAGCTCCACCTAGGAGCATATGAGGCTCTGGGGGGACATCTAGATAGAAACCATAACATTCTGCCCCTGACCCCAGAAGACTTGTGTGTGTCTTTATTTTTTATTCAAAAAAATAAATTCATTTTGAGACAGGGTCTTGCTATGCAGGTCAAGCTGGCTTTGAATTCACCATGTAGGCAAGGCTGGCCTTAAAGTCTCAGTAGTCCTCCTGCCTCAGCTTCCGCTAGGATTACAGATGTGCACCATTACATCTGATATGTGCATTCCTTTATAAAAGATGCATTTAGTCCATCTCTAAGAGTTTCCAAAAGCCAAACAGTTTTATTAGCATTACTGAAAAGTCCAAGTCCAAAATATCCTTTGAGAGTTAAGGCAAACTCTTAACTGTAAGCCCCTGTAAAAAGCAAAAGAATGTTAAACACTTGCAATATACAGTGCATGGGATAAACATTCCCATTCCAAAAGGGAAAAATAGGGTCTTAGAAAGGAATGGAACCAAAGCCAGATTGAAATCCAGCAGGACAAACACTAAATCCTGTAGTTCCGTGTCCAGTGCACAGAACAAGCTGCGGCAAGATGTGAATTCCAAAGGGGTTGGGTGGGCCTCCCCCTGCAGCACTGATGGGGGTTGTAGCCCTCATTGCTTCTCTTTTAGTCTGGCTTTGCTCATTCTTTGCAGCTTTCCTCAAATGTTCCATGTTCCTGGCTTCTCCAATCTTCTGGGGTCTCCACTGTACTTTGGGCTTCACTTTCACAGTTTCATGCACTGTCCTTTCAGGGACGCACTGCCTGACCTCCCAGGCCTTCTGCAATCGGAGTGGAAGCCTTCCCAACTCCACAACTCTGGCGTTCTGCATGCACCTAAAACCAGCACTATGTGAATGATGCCAGGATGTGCCACCAGCCCCTTCTGAGTAGTAACTGAACTTCTTTGTGTTTTGCTGGGGTTTCAGAGGCCTGGGAGTGCCTGGATGGCTGAGCGTGGTAAACTAAATCCCAGAGAGCCAGGGATTTAGCTCAGTGGTGCTGCCACCTACTTCATAAGCACAAGATTCAGAGTTCAATCCCCAGTACCCACCCCTGCAAAAAGAAAAAAATCCCAGGGTACCAATTCCCTAGGGTTCCCTTACCCAACAGAGTGCCTGGGACTCTCTCTCTTTCTCTTATTTTTATTTTATTTCTTTGGTACCAGGGATCGAACTAGAGACCTAGTGCTTACGAGGGAGGCAGGCATCGAAACAACCGAGCCTAATCCCCAGCCCTTGGGATTCTCTTTTCAGTGCAATCTTTCACTTTTGTAGGCCAAAGGTGGAGGTTGTCTTGCTGTTTCCTGACATGCCCTCAAAGCCATTTTTCTTATAGTCTTGATCCACAGTACAGTACTCAGCTTCTTTTTAATGCTAATCTTTGTTGTTTGTCTGTCTGTTTGTTTGTTTTTGAGACAGGGTCTCACTGTGTAGTTCAGGCTGGCCCTAAACTCCTTATGTATCTCAGGCTGGCCTGGAATTTGCAGCAATCCTCCTGCCTCTTCCTCCCAAGGGCTGGGATTACAGGTGTGAACCATTACGCCTGGCATTTAATGATAATCTTTTCAGCAAAGAAGCTCTCCTCTGCTCCAGTTTTGCAGGCCTCAACTTTACTAGAGCTTCCTTTCTGGCCAAACTCAAAACTTTTTAAATCACTAAGCTGTGCCATTTGCTCTTGATTCTCAGCATAGAAAAGCCTTTCCTCTTCTAATTTTTTCCCCCTTGGGTATTTGTTCTCAATGATTTAGGAGAAGAAAGGCTTATTTTGGCTCCTGATTGTAGACTATGGTCATGTGGCTCCAAGTTAGAAACATCATGGCAAAAGGGCACAGGAGAAAAAAAGCCGACCATTGCATGGCATCCATGAAGCAGGGAGAGCAGGAGAGGAAGGGGACAAGAATGAGATATACCTCCCCAAAGGCATGCTTCTGGTGACCTTCCTCCAACCGGACCCGCCTCTTAATAGTCATTCAGCTATGAACTCATCAATACATTCATTCATCAAGGGATTAGTATCATCAATACACGAGTCTTTGGACTCTACAGCCTTTTTTGTTTGGCCATCACATTAGATTTTAAAACTCAGAACTGGAAGCCAGGCTGGTGGCACATCCCTGCAATTCCAGCTCTGGCAGCTATGTCAGGAGAATCACGAGTTCTATCCCAGCTGGGCAGTTTAATGACTTAGAAAGATCCTATCTAAAACAAAACAAATTTAAACTTGACACCAGAATTGCTAAAATTATAAATATTGACAATAGCTAGTGTGAACCAAGACATAGAGCAACTGTACACAAATACATTGCTGAACGAAGTGTAAATCGGCACAACTACATTGGAAATCCATTTGGTTCTCTAAAAGTCAACATACAGTATCTTATGATCCAGAAACTCTGCTCCTAAGAGTAGAAATCCATGAGAAATGCAAACACATGTTCACTAAAAGATATGTGCAAAAATGTTCACAAAAACTTCATTCATAATGGTTCCAAACTATGTTCACTGGTCGTATAATAGGTAAATATAATGGTGGCAATATTCATACAGTTGAGTACTTCTCATACATAAAAAGGATGCTGCTATGCAAAAGGATATGAATGAATCTCACTGCCTAATGTTGAGGGAAAGAAGCCAGACATAGAAGAGTATATACTATATTTACTGAAGTCTAAAAAAATGCAAACCTATCTTATGATAGAAATCAGAATCATGGTTTCCTTCAGTGGGATAGAAAGGAGTTCTCTATGGTGCCACAAAGATTTGTATGAATTTATATCTTGATCCTGGTGATAATTTCACATGTATGTGCTTATTAAAATTTATACAACTATATACTTAAGATTTGTGTACTTTATTTTATGTATAGTAATATGCATAAAATAATTTAATAAAGTAAAATAAAAGTACCCACCCCAAATTCTGAGCTTGAGAGCCATTAGAGGAAATACTTAGCTGGTTCCCCACAGTCCTCACCACCCCCCACTGCACACCCCTTGGCTGCTCACACAGAAGCTCTGAGGGCAGAGTTCCAGTTCCTGCAGGAAGTGCCCTCTCATGAAGTTTCCTGTTTCCTCCCAAGTGCCTGTGTGCCTTTCCCTCAGTATCTCAGAGTCTGGGTGAGGGTGAGCATCTAGCGACAGATGAAGCCCATACTATTACTGAGCTTTTCTTCCATGGTGTACCCACTACCCTGACTGGTGAACAGGAAAATGGACAGCTCTGCAGCCTGCTGCAGGAACATGGTTGATGGAGAGCTCTAGTGTTCTTTCTGGATCCACCACTGTGTTCAGCCAAGGCCCTGCTTCCTCCAGGCTGCTGCCAGCCAGAGTCTGACTGTGGCGGGGCACTAATACTTCTTGGTCCAGAGTTCCCCACTGGCCTGAATGACACATTGTGAGAACTGCACTGCAGTTTGAGACTTTTCCTACTCAATTCTTCCTTCTTCCTCTTACCAAGTGTCAGACTGGCATAGTATGCACAGAACTACATATATTCCTGAATACAGATGGATGGCATCTGAAGGCTTTCTCCATCCCTGCTGGCCATTTCTTTGTCCCTCACAAATGTCATCCCCCATATATCTGCGTGCCCTGTCCTGCATCTACTTGAATGATCCCAACTGAAACACAGAAGCACCAGTGGCACCTTCTTCTCCCTCTTCCAAATCCTCATCTCTCCCCTTTCCAGTGGAAGTGGCGAGAGGGCTTTAATTCACCTTTACTTCACATCTTAGGGACATTTAAAATTTTTATTTTAATTAGTACCTGTCAGCAGTACATAATGATTATACTTTGTGAGGAGTTGCTACAGGAGGGACTTTTTTCTTTCTTTCTTCTTTTTTTAGACAGAAAAATCATCATCTCTTTCATGACGTATTTTATTCCTATTTCTTACAAAAAACTCTGGAAGAATCTTTATAACTGCCCTATAAAACCTTCTTGTGTAAACTCCTTTGAAGTTTAAAGAAGGGAGATCTTTCTTTTACTAAAAAAGTAGATGAAAAAAAAAAAAACCATCCACTATGGAAGCAAATAACCCCATTTTATGAATGAGGAAATTGAAGTTTACAAAACTGAGTAGTCTGTTCCAAGTCACACAATTCGAAAAAATCTGGTGCCAAGATTCAGATTCTGTCCTATTCTAAAGGTGGAATTTTTCATCATTATATTATATTGTGCACTTCATTTCACTATTTTTAAAAGAATATTTAGGCGTTTTTTTGTTTGTTTGTTTTTTGTTTTTTTTTTTTGGCACTGGGGAT